AAATTTAAAAAAAATAGAGTAATTGAATAGATTAAAAAATAAGACACAACTTTACGTTGCTTACAAAACACAAAACAAAAAACAAACAAACAAAACAAAAAAAACACTGCACCTCTAATGACACATAAAGATGATAAATGAATGGATGAAATAAGATATTCCATGCAAATTGAATCCAAAGGAAAACAAGAGTAACCATACTTGTATAGAATTAACTTTAAACAACAATCAGTAAAAAGAGATGTACATTATTATGTAATGATACAGGGGTCCATTCAGCAAGAGAAAATAACAATTTTCAATATGTATATACCCACTATCACAGCATCTATATGCACATATACAAAAATCGCTCAACATTATTAATCATCAGAGAAAAGCAAATCAAAACTACAATGAGATATAATTCTACCCCAATAATAATAACTATTTTTAAAAAAGTTTACAGATAACAAAAACTGGCAAGTATGTGGAAAAAAGGGAATCATTACACACTGTTGTTGGGAATGTAAGTTAGTATAGCCATTATGGGAAACAGTAAGAAGGTTTCTTCAAGTAATTAAAAATAGAACTATTAAGATTTAGCAATCTCAGGACTGGGGTTGTGGCTCAGCAGTAGAGTACTCGCCTGGCATGTGCAAGGCCCTGGGTTCGATCCTCCGCACCACATGAAAAAATAAAAAAAGTAAAATAAAGGTATTGTGTCCAACAACAAAAGATTTATCAATCCCACTCATGGATATATATCCAATGGAAATTAATTAGTATTCTAAAGAGATATCTATACTTCCATATTCATTGCATGATTAATCATAATACCCAGGAAACAGAAATAATTTATGTGTCCATCACCTGATAAATGGATAAGGACAACTTGGTACATTTATATGGGAATACTATTCAGTCATAAAAAGAATTAAGTCCTGTCATTTACAATAACATGGATGGAAATGAAGATCATTATATTAAGCGAAATAAAGCAGGTGCAGAAAAACAAGTACTGCATGATCTCATTCAGAGGTGGAACCTAAAAAAATCTAGACTGGGGGATACAAGATGCAGGGAGAGTGTGGTAGGGGAAGGGAAGGAGAAAGATTGACCTATGGTTACTAAATTCCAGTTAGATAGAAATAAGAAATTCTGGGGTTATTGTAAAATGATAACAATAATGTACTGTGCATTTCAAAAAGCTAGAAGAAAGGATATGAAAAGTTTTCACCATGAAGAAATAATTAATGTTTGAGAAGATATATATGTTTATTTAAATATTACACTATACATATTTGTTAAAATATATCATGGTATCCCTTTTATATGTACAATTTTATGTTTTATACATAAATTTAAAATGAATATATTTTTAAAACAACATATGGAATAACAAAAGACATTTATACCAATAGAATAGAATAGACTGCCTAGATATAAACTATTTCATATATGGTCAAATGATTTCCAATAAAAATTTCAAGAACATTCAGTGGGTAGGAAGTCTTTTTTCACAATTAGGGCTTTGAAAACTGAATATCCACATGAAAATAAGTGAGTTTGAACTCATATTTTATATAAAAAATCAATCCAAAGTGAATGAAGAACCTAAACATTGAGTTAAAATTATAAAACTCACTGGGTACAAAGACTCATGTCTATAATCTCAGCGGCTGGGGAGGCTGAGGCAGGATTTGAGTTTAAAGCCATCCTCAGCAACTTAGCGAGGCCCTAAGCAACTCAGCAAGACTCTATCTATAAATAAAATATTTAAAAAGGTCTGAGAATGTTGCTCAGTGGTTTAGTTCCCCTGGGTTCAATCCCTGACCCCCCTACCACCAAAAAAGATCATAAAACTCATAAAAAATAGAGAAAAAGCTCCAAGAGATTGGTGTTCTCAGTGATTTCTTAGATATGACACAAAAAGCATAGGAAATAAAATTAAAAGTAAATAATTTGGACTTAGAATGCTTTTGTATGTTACAGACACTACTAATAGAATGAAAAGGCAATTCACACAGTGGAAGGAAATCATTTTCAAGTCATTTACTTGATAACAGCTTGGTATCCAAAATATATAAGAAATCCTACTATTAGCCACATTTAAAATAAACAATCAAATAAGAAGATTGTTACTTGCTATGTTGGCACTTTCCTGTACTACTGGCAACTCAGGATATTGAGGCAGGAGAATTGCAAGTTGGAGGCCAGGTTTTGCAACTTAGTGAGAACTCTTTATCAAAATAAAAAATAAATAAATGAATGAGAAATTAGTTAGTTACAAGTTTTGACCAAGATGTGGACCAACTTGTACAATTATATACTG